AAAAATTAAAAACTTTGTCAAACAAATTAATCAGACAATCTTAATACTTAATTTTGTGTACGCCGCTGCTTTATAAAAATCGATTACAAACTGTTGTTGACACTGAGATTTATAATGCTCGATTTCAGACAGCAGTCCTTTACAAAAAAGTATGCTTCGTTTCAGTATGTGAATACTTAACAAAAGAGGTCTTTTATATAACCCAAATTACATAAAGGAAAGTAAAAAACAAACCCTCTGCTTAAATTGGCTTTTATATTGAAAATTTGTGAAGATAATTTTGTATTCTGTTTTATTTGTTTTTTATAAAATTGTTTCGTTTTTAGTCTTAAGAAAAAATTAGTTGTTTGTGTAGTAATAAACCAGATTTAATTTACTTAATTGAATTTTTTATATTAACCCTTAAGTACTGACGCATAGTCTACCAGACTACTGCTGTTTTTCAAAACTGTAATATTTACTGTAATAAATAAAATATTTAGTTTTCCATCAGTAGGTATAGTCTGAAATAGCATTAAAACAAACGTATTTACCAAATATTAAAAATATATCTCGAACTGAACCGAAATTAATTATACGACAATAAAAATTAGGCGTAATCTGTCAGACGATCAGTATAAGAGTGTGCATTTTATGGATGATAACTATAAAAAAATAGTTACGAAATGGTATGAACAATGTGATAGTAGTGGAAGTGAAATAGAGAATGCAGAATATGATTGTGCTTTTGAAAGTAAACACGATTCAGAGTCGGAAATATCCGAAGAGAGTACTTAATGAAGACGAAAATATTGAGGAAGATGACTGACTGTAATATTTTCGTCAAAAATCGTTTTAAATGGGCGACAAAAGAAGCTGTACCGACTCGAGGGAGAACTTTAAAACATAATATAGTTATACAACTTACTAGACTAAAGAAGTCTGCTCATGCGCATGGAAATAATGCATCCCCATTAGATTTTTGGAATTTACTATTTTCTACAGAGATATTGAGTAAATTATTTACTGAACCGTGTGGAGTTGTCTGTCTCCCATCGGACGCGTCCCCAGGTGATGGATAGGGGAACGCCCTAACCGGTCCTAGGACCGGCGGGTAGGTGGGAAATAAAATACCACCCGTGAACCAAAACGGACTAAGGTATGGTAACCCTAACAGAAGAGTCCCTGGCCCTCCAGGTTGGAGGTTGGGCTTAGGGCTAACAACTCTACCCCGTAAAAAAAATATCGTTACGAGATCTACAGCTAAAGAAACCGGACGGAACTTACGACGACGACCAATGCAACGAAATAAGGATAAAGATTTAAAAATTTACACGTGGAATGTGCGGACACTTTATGAACCTGGAAATCTTAAAAAATTAATAGACATACTAACTCAATATAAAGCACACATTACTGCTGTGCAAGAAGTAAGATGGACTGGCCAAGGAATTATCCAAAAGAGACAATGCGATATATATTACAGCTGTCACAAGAATAATCACGAATTCGGGACCGCATTCATTGTTAACAAAAAAGTAAAACATCTTATTATGGACTTCAAACCAATAAGTCCAAGAATATGTTACCTAAGAATAAGAGGTAAGTTTTTTAACATCAGTCTCATAAATGTACATGCCCCAACCGAAGACAAAGAAGAGGATGTCAAAGATCAATTCTATGAGGAAGTAGAGACCATCTACGATAGATGTCCCAAAAACGACATCAAGATCATAATTGGAGATCTTAATGCAAAAATAGGGAAAGAAAATATATATAGTCCATACATCGGAAAATGCAGCGCTCATGACGTCACCAACGACAATGGAAATAGAATAATAGGATTTGCAGCATCCAAGGGCATGGTCGTTGGAAGTACCTACTTCCCCCATAAGAATATCCATAAAGTAACATGGACGTCGCCTGATGGTATAACCAAAAATCAAATAGATCACATCCTAATAGAAACCAGGCACTTCTCTAATCTAATGGATGTACGTACTTATCGTGGAGCTAATATAGATTCAGACCACTTCTTAGTAGGCGCAAAAATAAGAGCAAGAATCTCAAATGCAAAAAAAGAAAAGGGTAAGAAAAGTACTCGCTACAATTTAAAACTCTTGAAAGAGCCCCGTGCACTAGAAAGGTATCAAAATTACCTTGAACATGAAAGCACAACAGATGAGAATTTAACAGCTAGCGAGCACTGTTATATATGTAGAAGAACAATTAAGGAAGCGGCAAACAACGTCCTAGGACCAGAAGAATCCACTCCACGCAACAGTTGGTTCGACGATGAATGTGAAGATATCACTAGAAGAAAAAATTATGCATATAAACTTGTGCAACAAAGAAGAACACAGGATAAGGAGCAAATGTACAAAGATCTTAGGAAGGAGGAAAAACGCATACATCGAAGGAAAAAGCGGACCTTCGAAAACCAGATTATGCAAGAGCTTCAATCATTAAAGGGGCAAAATGAAACTAGAAAGTTCTATAATATCCTAAATAAGACAAGAAAAGAATTTAAACCACGGCTGACGATGTGTAGAGACAAAAATGGACATATAGTCAGTACCGCTGACGCAGTACAAAGCAGATGGGTTGAGCACTTCAAAGAACTACTTGGTAAGTGGAAAATGATGCGTCACCCCAAAGACCAAGAAATAACACTCACGTAGAACCTCCTTCAATATTTGAAGTGAAAGACGCAATCACACGACTCAAAAATAGCAAGTCCCCAGGAGTGGATTGTATCCCCGCAGAGCTCATCAAACCTGGAGGTAACAGCATTATGCACCAAATTCACAACATAATAGTCAAAGTCTGGGAAGAAGAACAAATGCCAGAGGAATGGTGCACTGGAATCATATGTCCACTGCACAAAAAGGGAGATTTGTTGGAATGTAAAAATTATAGGGGTATAACTCTTCTGAATACAATGTACAAAATATTCTCCAACACCCTGTACAGCCGTTTAAGTACGTACGTGGAAGAAATCCTTGGTGAGTATCAAAGCGGTTTTAGGCCAGGTAGGTCAACAATTGACCAGATTTTTGTGCTACGTCAAATCTTAGAAAAAACCAATGAATTTAATATTGACACGTTCCATCTCTTTGTGGACTTTGAGTCAGCGTATGATAGCGTCCTAAGAGGTAAATTATACGAAGCCATGAATGAACTTAACATTCCCCATAAATTAATAAGGCTCGTAAAAACAACTATGAGTAAAGTGATCTGCAGAGTGCAAATACAAGGCGATATGTCACAATCGTTTGAAACATATGCAGGGTTACGGCAGGGAGACGCGCTGACGTGCCTTCTCTTTAATATAGCGTTAAAAAAGACTATAAGAGGTGCCGAGTTACACAATAGGGGAACAATCTTTAATAAATCAACGCAGATTATGGCTTACGCTGACGATCTGGATTTGATCGCACGTACTACACGAGGACTTAAAGAGATGACTTCCACCTTCTTGAAAGCCGCACAAAATATGGGCCTTAAAATAAACGAGGAAAAAACCAAAATGTTAGCATCTATTCCAAATAACAGAGATAGAGCTAGAAACGCCGAACAAAACTTCAGTATAGACCAATATAATTTTGAGGTAGTAAATAAGTTTACATATTGGGGTTCTCTCATAACAAACGATAATGACACATCTGAAGAAGTTAAACGGAGGGTACTGCTAGCAAACAGATGTTATTTTGGACTAAGCAAGCAGCTAAAAAACAGAAATTTAGGCCAGAAAACCAAACTAATAATATATCGAACACTCATCCTACCAGTACTGACAGATGGGTCAGAAACATGGACCATCTCCAAAACAGACGCAAATCTTCTGCTCGTCTTCGAAAGGAAGATACTAAGAAGAATAATGGGCGCATTCTGTGAGAATGGTATTTGGAGAAGGCGATATAATTTCGAATTGTACGAGAAGTATAAAAAAAATAGTAAATGGTAGAGATGTAATATCCTTCATAAAAATAGGTAGGCTTAGATGGGCTGGACATGTGTCAAGAGCAAATGAAAATTACCCACCCAGACGAACTCTATTATCGGTCCCAGTGGGAAATAGGAGTAGAGGCAGACCACGACTGAGATGGAGAGACGGTGTGGACGAGGACGCAAGGAAAATCGGCGCGGCAAATTGGCAACGGTTGGCGATGAACAGAAACGACTGGCGAAATAGACTGGGGAAGGTCAAGGCTCAACTAGAGCTGTAGCACCACTGATGATGATGATGATTTACTGAACCAACGCTAAAATCTGTAGTTATCGGGCAGAATACAAAAGAACTGATAGAAGTGAAATTCGTGACACGCATTTGATTGAAATAAAAGCATTTTTGGGTATGCTAATTTATACTGCCGTTTTGACCTCAAAGCATGAGTGTACCATTTCTGCTACGGACGGTACCGCAAAAGATATTTTTCGGTGTTTTATGAGTAAAAGTCGGTTTTCGTTCCTGTTAGCATAATCCTCTTCGTTACCATAATCCCATTGATCGAAAACAGCGTCAACAAGCTGATCCAACTGCTCCAATATTAACAATATTTTGCAAGTGTGTATTAAATTGTCAAAAAGTATATTCAGTTGGCCAGACTGTATGTGTCGATGAGATAATAGCTAGTTTTCGGGGCAAATGTATAAGATGTACAAAATGCTCTACTAAAAGGTAAAAGATGAAACCACGAAATACAACAATGTAGGAAAGAGAAGCTTTAACGTCTGTAGTGCCAAGACGAGAATTAGTACGCCCCAAGAAGAAAACCACATCTTCTGCTGAAAAACCTATAAAAAATTTTGGTTTGATCTATTTCGAATTCTATAAAATGGAGAACTAAAATGGTGGGCTACCATTGCGCAGACCTTTATTTTTTAATCACATAGAATGTAAACAAATTAAAAAAAATTGAATCCTGGGAGTGAATTTTGCCTATCTTAATGGAAGGTAGTCTTAAAACATACATATTTTTTTATAAAATCAGGAATACAACCAATTATTATATACTTACTTTATAAACCTTGAATTTGTCCATAAGTGCATCAAAACAGGAAAACACAGCATTCATCGTACTCACCAGCTCCATAGCATCTTCGACAGTAGTTGAATTAAAACCAACTAGCTCACAAAACATCACCGTTACTACATCAAAAGACTGAAAAAGAATTATTTGTAATTTAAATTGATCTCAAGCTATAAAAAAAGTAACGATTGGTGAAAATAAGGAACACATTCACCTTAAAACTAATAATTTAAATTAAAAAATTATTCATATTTGTTTACAAATCCTGATACAATATAATGTTAGTGGAGATGTTAATATTTCTGAGAAATATCACATATAGATCAAACAAATTAACTTAGGCACTAATTTAGAAACTGTAGCTGTGCCAGGGTCATGCAATGCATTTATCTACGTAATCGTAATGAAAGCGTACTAAAAGATCTCCAGTACCTAATTAACGAAATTCCTAATCCCAGCGGTGAATGAAAGTATATAACATGGCAGAAGAGAAGAACATTCTTAAGCTGGCCAAGACCCACAAAGGGTTGTATTGCCGTTAGAAGAAGAAGAATATGAACTGCCACAATATTTAATTATCAATACATGAATAATACTACAGTACATCATAAATACTGGTAAGCCGATATATTTCAGTTTTCAGAATAGTTCTTCCTGCGCCGTAGATATATCCCTATGTGAGCCCTCTGAAATAATCTAGATTATCTTTATAATAGTGATCACCATCCTATATCCTATATCGTATAACCGACCAACCGAATATCCATATCTGAAAGTGGAAAGTAGATTCTGCCGATTGGGAACTATATACTATAGAAAACCGGTGCCAATATGAAATCAAGAAATAGACATTGCTTTAAGAGCTAGCAAGAATGCATTTGATTATAAAAAAAATACTTTTGAAAGTCTTTAAAATTTTGAAAAGTTTGAGAGCTAAAACTAAACATCTTATTAAAAGAAGTAAAAAGGCAATCTAGATATTTCATCTATAAATTCATTAACTCCGATATCAGTTATATGGAACAAGGTACGCACACTAAGAGGAGAAAATGAACTAACCTGAATTAGTTCCCTTTCCTGAGACTGTAGAGAAACAGGTATTTTTACATCTTTTTATTTTATTTAGTTTTTCTATACCACTTCTATATAACAATTAGGTTTTTATGCTTCTGTATTTTTTAAACCTACTTTGAAAATATTAAAATAAAAAATTAATTTTTTGATTTGCAGGCCGGAATTAGATCACCATTAGGCCGGAATAGCGAATAAAAAACACAATTTTTATTTTTTATTAATTATTTTGATAAAGAAAACCTCAAGCTATCAAATATAATATAAATCCATTATCTCTATTATTTCTTTTCCTTAGTATTTATTGTTATTGGGTCGGTTTACCTTATGTGAATTATAGAACTCAATAAATAACTTTTTAACTTTGATAAAATAAAAGGTAGATATCGAGCACTGGTTTATTAATTAAATCTTAAAACCTAAATTTAAAGTTTTAATTTTTAAAACCAAGTTCTCTATTACAATTTATTTAGATCTAATAGAACGTTTAAAAACCATTAAAATAGAAGAGAGTTTTTATTTAGTTTCTTTTGATGTTTCCAATTTATTTACTTATGTACGAAGAGATGAAACATTACCTTTAGTACACAACATTCTAAGTAATTGCAACATATCAGCAAAAGACAAAGATGATATCTTAACTATGCTTAAATTTGTCTTGATCAGGACTTCTTCCAATTTAATCAAAAAATATATAAACAATTTAGCAATGGGATCTCCATTATCACCTTTTCTAGCTGACATTTTTTTAGACAGATTAGAACAGAAATTTGTTATCAACAACAGCAAAATAGTTTTTTGGTCAAGATATGTTGATGATTGTATAGGTCTCATACAGGGAAGCCAAGATGATGCTTTACAGATTCTGGATGATCTTAATAAGCTCTTACCTCTTAATGATCTCTTTTACATTGGAACCAGAATCTGACAATAAGTTGAACTTCTTGAATATGACTATATCTCGTAATAAAGATTCTCTAGAGTACAATATTTACAGAAAACCTACCCAAACAGATCATGTTATACATGAAATATCTAATCATCCAACCCAACATAAAAAGGCTGCTTTCAATTGTTATATTTATAGGTTATTTAAATTTTCACTTTCTAATGATAACTTTAATTTAGAACTTAATACCCTCAAGCAAATTGCTTTCAATAATGGTTATGATCCCAACATTATCCATAAGCTTCTAAATAGAGCTAAACTCAAAATTGCAGAAAAGCTTGCATATTCATCACAATGTTTTCTTCAACCTAATGTTTCAAACATCAGATATTTCTCCTTTACTTATATTAGCAACATTTCCAACAAATATCAAAACTTTTTACTTCTACAATTGTAAATATTAACATTTTCGTCAAGCCACACAACACTTTATATTCCTTTTTAATCAACACCAAAGATAGGATGAACACAGTTTACCAAAGTGGTACTTATAAATTAAAGTGTGATGATTGTGATGCCACTTATGTAGGTAGAACCATTAGAAAGTTATCTACTAGAATTTCAGAATTTCAGAACTATCTACTGGAATTTCAGAACATTTAAAAAGACCAAACTCTTCAAGTTTTGGTCAACACTTATTATCTAGTAAACACAATTTTAACATCAATACTGGTTCGTCTATTTTACATGACATTATTAGAAGCAAACTATTTGGAGTTGGATTTATTGGAAGATTTGGAGATTACAAGGGAAACAAATGGAAACTCTTACTGTCTTAATACTTAAATTAATTTAAATTGTACTAAATTTAATCCTATATTTAAAAACTTTATTACAGCTTCACCTCGTAGTGGACATAGCTCGGCTGTTTAGACTTCCTGCACTGAGTAAACCCATTAAGAATTTATTAATTTCATACTTGGATCAATAATAGTAAATTTTATTCTTTAACAATTTACAAAACTAACTTGCTCAGGTTCAATTGATCTATAGTTAGCGTTAATTACACTCTCCATACACCTCTGCGTAATCTAGATATACCATCTCCACAGTTGTATATTTCAACATCTCCCACTGTTGGTCAGTTGGTCGTGAGTACCGTTTTTTTGACTGGGGTTTAACTGAACTACTTAAATTATACCACATTTATACACTGCTTTCAATTTCGGTTTTAATTTTTAGTATTTTAATTTATTCAGATTTCTTCTGTTCTACAGTATTGATAGTGCCTGGTAGACCCTTTTATATAAAATATAAAAGTAGCAATTATTAAAACAGCAAATGAAAACTTAAAACCAAAGAATAGAAAACATAAAGATTGGATGATTGAAGAAATACTACTATTAATGAATGAAAGAAAATCGTTTAAAACAAAAAATCCAATTAAATAAAATGAAACTGATCGATTAATAAAAAAGAGAATAAAAGAAGCTAAGGAGAGAATGTTACATGAGCAGTGCCAAGAACTAGAAGAAATTGAGAAAAAATATGACTTTTTTAACATACATAAAAGAATTAGAGAATTAACAGGAATGAGAAAAACACTTCAAACTAGGCAACAAAGAGATGAAAGAGTTGCTCCTATAACAGATATAAACCAAAAAATGCAGAGATGGACACAATACATAGCACAACTTTTTGAAGACAAAGAGAGAACAGAAGCACCAAAAGAATTTAAGGATGATACTGGGCCTGACATTATACGAGAAGAAATTGAATATGCAATGAAACAAGCTAAAGGTGGTAAATCTCCCAGGCCTGATGAAGTTCCTATCGAATTACTTAAAATTGTGAAAACTGAATCTATTGATCTTCTTTTGGATCTATTCAATACCATATATAGAACAAGTATAATACCTAAAGAATGGCTCCAATCAACATTCATACTGCTTCCAAAAAAAAACAATGCAAAGGAGTGCAATGAACATCGCAACATAGCCTTAATGAGTCATATCTTGAAATTGTTTTTAAAAGTAATTCACAATAGAATACATAAGACATTAGATGAAGGCATAAGTAATACACAAATGGAATTTAGGAAAGGACTGGGAACACGAGATGCACTGTTTGCAGTAAGTGTTCTTTCGCAGATATGCTTAGATATTAATCAGGAAGTATATGCCTGTTTCATTAATTTTGAGAAGGCATTTGAAAGAGTGCAGCATAATCGACTTATGAAATTTTATTAAATAAAAACATAGACAGTAAGGACATTAGAATCATCTGTAACCTCTATTGGAATCAAACAGCAAAAGTGAAAGTTGAAAACGAACTGACCAAGGATATCCAGATTCGCCGTGGGGTCCGCCAAGGGTGTATTTTATCACCCTTGTTATTCAATTTATACAGTGAAGCCATCTCAGAATTAACGCTTGCCGAGATCGGTGAGGGCCTTATAATAAACGGAGAGCCACTTACTAATATAAGATATGCTGACGACACCGTCCTTCTGGCAGGAACACTAGAATAACTGCAACACCTTGCTAAACAAGTAAATATATATTGCAACGATTATGGACTAAAAATCAATTTAAAGAAAACCAAGTTCATGGTATTTACAAAAGCACAAAACATCAAAGTTAAGCTAGTACTAGATAATACAGAAATTGAACAAATACCTTGGAGCATGGATCACAGAAGATACTGATCAGACAAAAGAAATAAGATGCCGCATTGAAATTGCGCGGTCAACTTTTAATAGAATGAGAAAACTTTTTTGTAATCGCGATATCAATATATCGCTCCGGATAAGAATGCTTCGATGTTATATTTTCTCTACCCTTTTGTATGGAGTTGAAGCTTGGACACTTAAAAAATCCAACATTAAAAACCTAGAAGCATTCGAAATGTGGTGTTACCGACGTATTTTGAAAATATCATGGATGGATCGCAAAACAAACGAACAAGTTCTCGAACAATGCGTAGTTTTAAATTCCATAAAAATCAGGAAATTGGAATACTTGGGGCACATCATGAGAGGTGAAAAGTACGAACTACTAAGGAATATAATGCAGGGTAAAATCAAAGGTAGAAGAAGCGTAGGAAGACGTAAAATCTCGTGGCTACGCAATCTCCGTGAATGGTTTGGATGCAGTTCAATTGAACTATTCAGGCGAGTAACCAATAAAATTATAATTGCCAGAATGATTTTCAATCTCCGATAGGTGTGGAACTTGAAGAAGAAGAAGACCCTTTTATTGTAGTCAGCCACCATATGTCTAATAGATTGTTTAGTCTATTTCTTGCATCCATACTTTATGTCCACTTCAGTTGCTCTCAAACTAACACCCTAAGTATTATAGACAGATTTAAGTGTGAGATCTGGATTATGCAATCTAGCTTAAATATTCTATATGTCATATTTCATCAGTTTATTTACTATAGTAGTAACAGTTGGACCTTTGGTCAATGCTTAGTTAAATAGAATTTTGAAATGTGCAGACCACATCTCTATGATTGTGATTGAAAATCCAAGCTGTCATATGTCACATGTCACCTTACTTTACTTTACTTTATCGTGTCCGGACATGTCATTCATAAAATTTCGGCCCAGTATCGGGCTACGTCGGTTCCATCTTTGTTGGCGAGCCACAAATCTTCAAGGGTACATCGATGAGGACAGCTTCTGCATGTAAGAAGATGTTCCATATTCTGTGTTTCTCCACAGTCACAGTTCACATCATCTTGGTTTATTTTTCCCCATTTTGCCATGTTTGATTTTACTGTAGCAACCTCCGTTCTTATCCTATTCAAGGTTTTCCACGTTTTAAAGTCTAAGGTCTGGCCGGTCCATTTAACCTGGGGAAGTGGAAAATACTCATCATCAGGCGGTTCATCCTTCACTGTTCCAAGGAAGCTTTTCCTAGATTTTAGTCGCTTTCGTGGTGTTCGAGCTTTGTATAGGGCATGCCGATCGTCCGCGATCTGTTTAATTTTCTCTATGTGTTCTGCAGCGCCTCTGCGTGTTGAGGGTTCTGCAAAACCCGCTGCTCTATATAGATTTGAAAGTGGCGTTGGTTTCATGCACCCCGTTACTATCCTGCATGTCTGATTTAGCGCAGTATCAACTTGTTTGGTGTGGGCAGATCTGCTCCAAACGGGGCATGCATATTCAGCAGTTGAGAAACACAGTGCCTGTGCCGTTGTTCTTAAAACGCCAGGACGTGCACCCCATTTACTTCCCGTTAGCTTTCTGAGTATGCTGTTCCTAGTTGTTACTTTCCCTCTTGTTTTTATGCAATGTTGTCTGTAGGTGAGTGACCGGTCCAGAGTTACTCCAAGATATATAGGTTGGTTTGTGTGTTCTAATGTATTACCATTCCACACAATTTGGAGTTTTCGCTTGGCTTCCTTTGTGCGAAGGTGGAAAGCGCAGACTTAGGGATACCGCGCATACCGGGAGACATTCTCTCCTGTTGCCGACCAGGATGTAGTTTCCACTATTTTTTAAATAATTTTAAACGGTTTGTCCTTGTTTAGTGAAGTCCAGTTTATGTTCAATTGTATGTTTAATTTTAAGTATATGACATTCTGATATTGTTGGATAGCCCAAAATTTGACGAAATAAGTCCAAAACGTTCCACAAAAAAACTTTTTATCATCTATTAACTTCGAGTTAACATCGAAGTTAACCATTTTCTTCATTTAAAAAAAAAGTTTCTTGGCTTATTTCAGATGCCCTTGAAGATGCTCTAGATAGCGAAAGACAGCAAGATTTAATTAATAAAACAGTACTCGATATCTGCATTTCATTTTTTCAAAGTTTATTTATTTGAGCGTTCAACCTTATATCAATCAAATAACTTTTTGTTCGTTTATTGAAATTGAAATTCATTAAAATAGAAATATTTTATTTAATATTCCAGTCTTTTTTAGAACTGGTATTATAAAAAGAAATATTTTCATTGTCTGTAAAAAAATGTATCTTTTCAAGAAATTCGTTCTGTTAACCCAGATTTTTCGTTACATCGGCATTTTTTGACCTACCTTGCACGTGCTCAAAGGGCTGTTTCCCGATCTTAAGGAGTCTGCCACGGGCTTGGGGATCATGGAGTAGAGCAGTTCGTCCCCACGTCGCTTCCACACGTTAAGGAGGGTGTAATTGTTTTCCAACTCGGAGGCCCTTTGTTCTGCCTTGTCGAACATTAGACGCAATCTGGAAAATATTCGAGAGAAATAAAAACAGCGGAATGGCTTGTTTACGAAGGGATTAAAGGAAGGAGGAAACCAGTAACAACAAGGATATTTTAAGGGAGTTGTTATCAGAGAATGGCGGCATAAAATTATATTTGATTCATTCCGTCGATTAATAATAATTTTTAAGATACGTTTTGGGACATTTGTGCCAAAGGCTAGAGCTCTGGACTGTACTATTTGTGCAATTATCGCAGTTTAAAACAAAAAATTTCGGATTTTGCACATCCAGAAGAGACCTCAATACTCCATAACAAATAATGGAGATATAATCATCAACACAGTGTTACTTTCAAAGATAAACAACTACTCTAAGACAAAATGCAAGCTATAGAGATTATAGAAAAGAAAACAGAAACCAAACAACCTCTTTTTGTCACTGACTGGCCTAATACTGGCCCAACCCGAATTCTCAAAAGCACAAAACGATTTAACAAATATAATTGACTTCAAACCAAGCTCAAATAATCGTTTTGTAGCTTTTACCCTTGAAACCTTTTACTTTTCACTGTTTTGGTATGGATATGCCGATAAAAACTGGGAAAAAATGATTGGCACAAATCCGCTTAAGGGATACAATGATTGAGTTAAAGGGATTTTTAAAATACAGATATAAAGATTTTTCTTACTTTTAAGATTTTTTTCCTAGATTTTGTGGTTTTTTAAAATCGCTTAGGGAAGTCACTTATTTTATATTATACTGAACAACATCCAGAAACAAGTTATAGGCTCTAAGAGCTGTAGTTTTTTTACTTTTAATTTTTTCATATTTTTTTATTTTAAGCCCTTTAAGATTTTATGTCAGTAGAGAGTAAAGGAGTATATAGTAGACAGTAAATAACATGCAGAACATCAAGATGATTTTCGCTACATGTGACGAAAAATATATAAAAAAATATACTAGTTGAGTATTATCAATAATCAAAACCTGAGTGTTTAGTGGTGGGTGGCGAAAGAAGGTGCTTAGAATTAGTAGGCACACAAACAAAAATACTGATAGATATAAATATCTCGGTGTAGGCATTACAATCGATGGTCAGAATACAAAAAAATAGCTACTAGAATTGGTCAAGATCATTCAGCAATATATCAACTAAATAGTATGCTCTAGAATAACCACATCCCTCGAAATACAAAAATTACGATATACAAAAGTATCATAGAAAGTAGGTATTGCTATGTATAGTTGAGAGCTTTGGATAATAAATAGAAAAGATGCATCCAAGTTCAAAGCAATGTAAGTAAATTATTTGCGTAGATGTAGCCAAATCACTACAAGACATAGAGTAAATAATACTGATATCAGAGAGCGTATGGACATAAACATTGAAATCTTGGAAACTATAGAATGCAAAAGGCTAAAATGATATGACCATGTCGAAAATGTGGATGGTTTTTTTTTTCAGGAGCACTCCATTACTGAAGTAATTGTTGACTGTTCATGCCTGTCCAAGTTCTGATATTGCGAAGCCATGACATAGCTCTTCTACCTACTCCCCTTCGCCACTTTGTCTTCCCTTAAATTATTATTCGTAAGAGGTTATATTTGTCATTTGTCATTTGGAGATATACGCTTTTAGTAAAGTGGTTGTAATATATATTTAGGTTACTTCTTATGATAAATGAAAAAAGATGGCCAAAGAGAATGTTATAGTGGATCCCCACCAACCGCAGAAACAAGGGAAGACCAAGAAGATCATGTAGCCAAGAAGTAAATGGTGCAATAGAAGATAGGGATTTACAAGTAGATGACTGAAACGATCGAAGCGTTGGAAGCTAGGTTGAATGAAACGGCGACAGCTCAGACAGCTGTAATAAACTCGTTATATATAGGGTGTCCCAGATTAATTTACTCGCGCTATATCTCTTAAATGAATAGAGATTTTCGAATGAGACAAAAAGTGATATATTCTACTTGTAATACAATTTAATATAGCGAAGAAAAAATTATCCCCTAAATCTTCATCTCTTAGTTACAACCCCTAACCTAAATTTCTTAATAGCACCCTGTACATTTTTTTATAGTTGTGGTTGTGGGCTTCTATCGTCTATTTAACCGATTTTTTTAAAATAAAATAGGTTTGTAAGGTATCAAGAAAATATCAGTTTATTTTTTATTTTTGAAATTAATCAAGATAGCCTTAAAAATAGAATAGAAAAGAAGTTTTAGTGTCACTGAGTGCTTTAGTGTCACTGAAATTAGATAAATCGTCAATATTACAAAATAAAAGAATGAAGAAAGTAAAACAAAACCAATTTATTGCAAACTTTAAATAAATTGCAAATTGAGCATACTACTCGTACAAATAAAATACAACCTTGGGAACAATAAAACTTAAAGGAAAAATTAAAATAGATGCAATAAAAATTACATGAAAAAATAAATCAAAACACCAACTAACTAACTAATATTATTTACATTAAATATTCGAATTGTAATCCACCTGCTGCAACACACATTTCGAATCGTTCCAGAAGATTTCTGGTACATATTTCTTGAATCATTTCGTGAGTAATTTGGTGACATGCTTGTCTTATTTTTTCTTTTAATTCCTCTAAATTTTGCGGTTTTGATTGATAAACAATATCTTTTATCGCTCCCCAAAAGAAAGAGTCAAGAGGTGACAAATCACATGAACGTGCAGCCACATAATTTCTGGAGAGTTGTTTGCTATCCAGTGGTTATCAAAACGGTTTTGTAGGTGGTCGCTAACGATTCTCGCATTATGTGGAGGAGCTCCGTCTTGTTGTCACCACATTTCTTGAGGCTCATGAAGAGGAATATCTTCCAAATGTTTTCTAAAAAGTCTAAATATCAAACACCTGTTAGAGTGCCGATAAAAAGTAAGGACCTATAACACGGCCATTAAATAAACCGCACCACACATTTATACCCCAAATATTCTGAAATCTTATTTCCATCATCCAATGTGGGTACATGGGACAACAATAATAGGGATTGTGACGGTTGACAACACCATTATTGTGAAATCTAGCCTCATCGCTCCACAATATTTCTTATAAAAAAAGTGGATCATCACTGATTTTTAACATCATTTTTGCAATAAACTCAAGACGTCTTTGGTCATCACCAGGCTGTAATCGTTGAACTAGGTGCACTTTAAAAGGATGGTACTTAAAACCTTTGAGAATTCTATGCACAGAACTTTTTGGAATGCCACATTCACTGGCGAGGGTTCTAACAGACACCTTGGGATTAAAATTAACATATACTAGTACATTAATAAGGTTTTGGTTACATCTTACTGTGCGTTAAATTGTACCTCTTTTATTATTAGGAAAATGTCCCTGTCTAAGTAAGCGTTCCAAATTCTTAAAGGTTTTTTCGCTTGGAATGCTTCGATTTGGAAACCTTTCTTGATATAATTGTCAGGAAATTCTCCTATTTTTTAGGCATTCTTCATAAATCAAAATGATATCAACGTACTCGTCAGGCGAAAATAAATAAGGCAAATTGAAATGTTATAGATACAAAATTACAACAAATATAATTATTACTGGTCTAATACCAAACGTCAAAAATAATAATTGTTGATTTGACAGATCAAATCATGGCAACATAAATTAAGGGTAATATCCAAGACGTAAAATAACCGCAAAAGTTTTTCAAATATTGTGACTTTATTATAAGAGATTTTTTTTTGTTAATTTTTGGACACATAATTTTGCACACTGGATAGCTGGATAGCCCAAATTTGACGAAATGCCCCTGATGATGCTGTAGAAAGCGAAAGTAATTGGGCAAGATTTGATTATTAAAATTGTGCTCGATATTTGCCTTTAAATTTTCAAAATTTAAAAAGATATTAACCATATATAAATTAAAATAGGAGATATTGTACTGCAGAAATCACCTAAGTTAATTAAATCGACAAAACTAACAGTTTAAAAATATATTGATAATATAAAAGACTTTGAGATTTTAATGGTCGAAAGATGTAGAGATACATTTTTTAACCTTTGTACGCTTTTAAAACGTTAAAATGACTCTTTTATATACCAAGCGAGTAATAATTATTAAAGCGATGGTAGATAATATACGGCACTTTGCACCTTAAGTATAACTAGTTCGATTATTAACTTCAGTAAATATAATGCCTAATTTCAACCCTTAGGCATATTACCCGAAATAACTTCAAACAAATCAACAAAGTTCGTCGTAACTTTTGGTAAACATAGAGATAAACACCACCCACATAAATTCAGTCACGCTTGAAACTACAACTTAAATATTTAAAGAGGGAAATTTCTGCTTCGTGTTTCCATTTAATATTTTAGTGGTACTGATTAAAAAGAGGAGAGTTTTGCTGTATGTGCCTTAAAATATACTATTGGACGAGAAATTGCACAAGAACGATTTTAATAAGGTTTGAATCGATTGAATGAGCCGCATTCATTCCGTATAAAGTGTCTGTTGAAAAGAGACAATGAATACATTGTATACGTACTATTTCAAACCTACATGTATGGATGTATTATGAATAGAGGGTGAGATTTTAGTGCAACATTGGTCGATAATTGCATTATGGTAATACAGAATATCCAAAAAAGTTATTTAGAAAATTTTAGGCAATAATATTCTCCTGTGGTATCTCCAATAACTATGTGGTAAAGTAAAAATATAATCTTTTAAATAGGACACCCCGTATATCTTCGCATATTTAGATTTCTCTTATAATCTCTGTTTCTACGTTAGATGTTTTGGAATTGGCTATTTTTATTTCAAAATTGCTATGGAATATACATAATATTATACTGTTTTGATTCACATTTATAGCATGAAGTTTTTAAAATCCAGAAAAAAAGAAAATTCTGACAAATATTGTATTTCTGGTACTTCTAGATATAAGTAAGTGCTTAGTGCATATTAAAAGATTTTTTCCGATGAAAATGGTTTGTGTATACAAAGAACAAATATATATATATATATATATATATATA